AGGAGGCCAGGCCAGAGCTTGGTAACCATATACCACTGTGCCTCTCATTTATTTGTCTGACAAATAAATTATTATTTTAATTTCTCTATTGCTGCGTTGAATATTTCATTCCAGCTAAGCGTTAACCACAAGCAGGGTGCTACACCTTGTCCCCAGAAGCAGGTGTTCTAAGGTAAAAAGGTGGCATCACGCCAGGACTACCCTCTACCACTTGGCAGTACATCCTAGACTTCCATCCATCTTCTACTTTAACTGGCACTGTGTAATTAACTTTCAACCCACCTCTTTTCCCTTAGTAAGAGAGGCTGCCATAGTCACATCTAGGGTACAGAAGAGGAAGCTCTGATGGTGGCAGCTTAAAGTTTTCACTGCTGTTCATTATTAACCAAAAGTTGAAAGGTTTATAAAGCGGCTCAACAGACAGCAATGTGACTGTAACCACAACTTGCTTTGGCCATTATTAAAATGTGATTAAAAGCTTGTCAGATTAATATTACTGATTAAAAATTAGATATCTGCAGAAGATCTATAAATGATCTGCCACAGGGGAAGATGGCAAACCTAGAGAACTTAAATTTCTGGTTTCCAGAGGGCACTGAGGGCAGATCCATACCATATATTTAAAACATAGCCAACACACATTTAGCACACATGACTCCCCCCCCCCAAAGAATCATGGGAACTGTAGTTTTCACTCAGAGCTCCAATTCTCAGCATCCTTACAAAACTACAGTTCTCAGGATTCTTTCACATCTGACTGCATAATGCTTTGATTTCCTTTTTTGTTTTCTGATGTTGTCAACACTATTCCTCCACTGAGGTTTGTCCCCATGAACATTTCCCCCTTGTAACTGATGCTGGCAGCATGGAAACACTGCATGTAAATACAGAACCAGATCCTAAGTTCCTGTTGCCTAGGACTGCCATTCGTCCGGAATTTCCCAGACATGTCTGGGATTCATTTGTCAGAAATAGCGTCTGGGTTGAATTTATGAAGATTGGGAAAACCCTGGCGTATAGCAACCCATGTTGGAAGTGTTGATTTTTTGGTGAATTTCCTTAATTTTTTATTTTTTTTTTAAATAGCTCAGCAACTTTGGAAAAAAGGGAAAAGGTTCAACAACTTTTGTGTCTGGATTTTCACTTTTTGAAATATGGCAATCCTATTGTTGCCAGAATTTTACTGGGAGATTTCAGGAGTAAATACATAAGCAGCCTTTCACTGAGTCACATTGAAATGTTACCTTAATATGGGAGAGTTAACCATTAGCTTCTCATGAGGCTGCATTCTAAATGGTAACAATGAGGATTCCCAACTCTGTTAGCCATGAGAAATGAAGCAGGGAGTTCTTCCTCCCCAGAATAACTAATTGAAAATAAGAGTGCGAATCTGCAAATCGCCTGAATGAAAGTGACAAAAGTTGCTGCCATCTGGAGTCTGGTCAGTGGGCTGTGCTCAATGACTTTGAGATGTCATTCAGGTTCTTACTGGAGCATCAACATTCCAAAACCTCACAGCTGGTATCCTCAGTAGAAATGGGGAGAAAATAAATAGGATAGGGATGAAGCTAATTTCCCTCCTCCTTTGACTCCAGCTCTCATAAATACATACAGCTAGAGACACAGTGCTAACTGCAGAACACAATGGCAGGGATTCAGAATTGAAAATGCATAACGGGGTTGGCACAAACTGACTCCCATGCCCCCTTCTCCCCACGGGAGTCTTCCAGCCTCCCAAAAAAGGCTTGCAAAGTTGTCTTCACCCGATTTTCAGGGATACACCTTTCCCGTGACATAAAAAAGGTAAAGGTACCCCTGCCCGTATGGGCCAGTCTTGACAGACTCTAGGGTTGTGCGCCCATCTCACTCAAGAGGCCGGGGGCCAGCGCTGTCCGGAGACACTTCCGGGTCACGTGGCCAGCGTGACATCGCTGCTCTGGCAAGCCAGAGCCGCACACGGAAACGCCGTTTACCTTCCCGCTAGTAAGCGGTCCCTATTTATCTACTTGCACCCGGAGGTGCTTTCGAACTGCTAGGTTGGCAGGCGCTGGGACCGAGCAACGGGAGCGCACCCCGCCGCGGGGATTTGAACCGCCGACCTTTCGATCGGCAAGCCCTAGGCGCTGAGGCTTTTACCCACAGCGCCACCCGCACCCCTTAGCCACCCGCGCCCCTTAGTGACATAGTCTACCCCATTAAGCAAGGGGAGAGCAGGGAGGTCTACTTGTGCCAGCACCATTCTAACCCTGATAGTATGTGTCAAAACTCTTTTTCCTTGCAAGAAAAGCCTACCTATACACCTGTCATGTGGCAGAAGGGAATAGCAGCACACATATCAAAAGGGGGGGAGGTAATTATGTGCAGTGGGAGCCAACCGATTCTGTTCATTCTATCTTTGTTATCTGGATTAGGACCTATGCTGGCAGGATGAATCGGGCTCCTTCCTGAAGCAGATGGACTAGACAGAGTTTGTGGCAGGGACTTGTCCGAAAGAACACTGCACATATGTACACAGATCTTCCCACCTCACACCAAGTGTTGGGCACACCCTCTTGATTAGACAGGCCATTTTTCTTCTAAGCGTCTGGGCACCAACAAATCTTATTGCTGTGTCAGAAGAGATTTTGCCACACACGAATGCATCATTGACACACCAAGGCAGACTCCAGTCATTAGCCGCTGAAAGAAAGAAACTGCCCTGCATTCAGGGTCCTTGTCACACGGCAATAAGAAATGAGCTGCTTGTTCAAAGGTAATGGTTCTATAGGGGCAGAGAAAACGAGGGCCGCCTAGGAAGAGGAGATAAATACAAATGCCTTGCCTCAAACTGTGGCACTTTACAGTACGACAATGGTCTGCAAGTAAGTTGTTTAAAAAAAACGCTTCTCTAAGATCTGGTCTATACAGTGGTACCTATACTTAATTAAGTACTTAATTCTTTCTGGAGGTCCGTTCTTAACCTGAAACTGTTCTTAACCTGAAGCTCCACTTTAGCTAATGGGGCCTCCTCCTGCTGCTGCACCACCGGTGTGTGATTCCTGTTCTCATCCTGAAGCAAAGTTCTTAATCCAAGGTACTATTTCTGGGTTAGCGGAGTCTGTAATCTGAAGCGTATGTAACCTGAAGCGTATGTAACCCGAGGTACTACTGTACAAACATCAGCTAGAAGCGGTGTAGTGAGCTGCACCATGCCAGGCTACACATAGGGGGCATTCACACACTATTTTGGGGGGATATTTTTCAAATGCAAAGCCACCCTGTAAATTCTCTGACACCCTCAAGACATTATAAACTTCTATCCCAGCCCTCTCTTCACTATTGCCAGTGATGTTGGTATTCAACTTGCAGTAAGCTTTTTAAATATTCAAACTTGTGACCCCACTCTGCAACGATGCAGTCCATTATACTAGATGCTGCTCACTTGGTACTAACCCATGACAGGGCCTCCTTGGTGACAGTGCCCCATTATGGAATACCCTCTTTGGTGAGGTGCTCCATCTCCCATATTATTGACATTCAGGAGGGATTTTAAAACATTCTTTTTCAACCAGGCATTTGATGGCTGAGAGGTATTATTCCTGGCAATTTTAAATTATTAGCTCTGAGGGTATGTGACTGCTTTCAAATGTTTTTAGATGTTCTTGTCATTATAAATGTGTTATAATTATGTTTTGAACTGTACTGCTTTACTACGTTGTTTGCTGCCCTTGGCTCCTTTGGGAAAAGGGCAGGATATTTAAAAAACAACAACAAAAACACAGTAAGACAGACTAGTATTCTATCACTTGTTTAGTTACACCACTTGCTTTGAGCCATCTAGTTCACTAGATAGGATTGTACAAGGCTTATCTGCATGCTGTGGTGGGTGGTTTTCAAAATATGCAATATACTGGGCACTTTATCTTCTGAATTACCAATCCGGATGAGACATGTATTTTTCAACTAGACACAGAGAACGGGGCCGAAAGAGCAGTGTGTTCTCTTGTGTACAACCACTGAACATAGTCTGATGCTTTAAGTAAAAGTTCAACTCTTGGCTGTATTAACTTTTTAAGCAGATCAAATCGAGCAGTCAGGGACCTCTTCAGGGCTATTTGCATGGGACTTTAATCAATTTGCTAAGTGTTTTACAAACCTTATAATATTTTTTTTTTTTTAAAAAAGAAAATCCTATGAGAAGGAGTTATTCATCCAATTTTACAGATAGGGATCCAAAATATGAGAGTGAATGGTTTGTCCTAAGCTACCTAGGGGATTTTTTAAAAAAAGAACTGACTAGAGACTGGACTCACTGAGCCATGCTGACATTTGACATTTTTCTACTTCCAGAAGCTTCACTGCAACTAGTATAACACTACAGGTGAAGCTCATGATTCCCCCTGAAGGCCCCTTCTCAAAGTCTTTTTCTCAAACCTGATGCCCCTTTTCCAACTGTCTCACTTTTAAGGGTGGCTCTTTCTCCTCATGGTCTTTGAAGTGTAGAAAGACAAGGGATTTAAGCTCCAGTGGCACTTTGATTTCAGATTTACAGTCCACTTCCCTAATAAATCCCATGCCACACTTTAATTCCTCAGAGGGAAAGAACGTTTGAGCCACAGAAGGAGAAAGTAGAAACTGTTTATTTTCCATCATAAAGATGCCTTTTAATATTTTAACATAAATCAAGCTGTGCTTTATGATGATAATAAATTTACCAGAAGAAACTTCATTTGCTGCCTGAGGCAGCAAAATGATTCAATTTGTTTAGTTTTTAAGCACAAGGAAATGTAATTGAGTCGGGTAAGGTACAGCTGTTTTAATTGACTTTTCGGAGAACACCTAGTGCTACAGGAAGCAGGAGGCTAATACGGAGGGACAAGAGAAGACAAGGATTACTCCACGAGCTGCTGCCAGCATGGATGCCCCCCTCCCCTTTGCTACTTCTGCCAACTGATCCGTCAACAGAAACTAATTCGAGATACACTGCCTTAATGTATGCAGGAAAAGGCCAAACCACAACAGATGCATAATCTGCATTTATTTCTTTATGCCTTTCTGAAAAATAATTACATACAGGGACAAGCTGAGGACACAGAGCAGCAAAGTGCCATAGTGAAGAATTGTTACATTTTAATAGGCAATTAAAAATATTGTCTCACGTTAAACCAGATGGGAGAAGGTATCAGCCACTGCATCATATTCAGCCAGGTTGAGCCCTGGATTCATAGAATCGTAGTGTTGGAAGGGATCCCAAGGGTCCTCTAGTCTAACCCCCTGCAATGCAGGAATCTCAGCTAAAGCATCCATGACAGATGGTCATGTAACCTCTGCTTAAAAACCTCCAAGGAAGGAGAGATTCTACCACCACCCCATCCCTTGGGGATCTTGTAATAGTGCCAGTAAAATAAACACACACACAAACATACATTTTATCCATCTTGGTCAACCTCAATCTCTCTCATGTTTTAAGGCATATTGTGATACTAGCATCAAACTTTCCCTCCTCTTGTAGGGCTTTCACCATTAATTGAGGTAGACACCTCCACTGCTCACATACTGAAGGCACCTGGGAAGGTACATCAATACAAATCCATCAGAAGACAGGAACGGAAGTTCTTCAAGGTGAGAGAGGAATGGAAGGTACTACTGCCAAGCCATTTCAAAAGTGCTCTTCCTATTCATGCAGAGAGAAAAGTCATCCCTGACTGTCAAGTTTCTTTTGAAATCAAAGAGGAAATTTCACATTTTATAACCTTTGGAGCAACATAAAAGGAGAAAAGATATAATCTAAGCCAAAAGGGCACATAATGCCACATGGGATTTAGATAAAAGGGGAAGGGAGAAATCCCAAACGACAACGTATAGCTGAGGTGGTGGGGACGGGGAGGCTGTCCAAAGGACACCTTTCTTGTGCAATACAGGCAATTAGCATAATTGTGCTTTGTAGTACACCTTCGACAAGATGGAAAACAGAACTGCTAAAGTAGCAGAAGTCCCAGACTAGGCTTGCTGTTTGGCTGTAACCTTAGCAATTTGTCCAGCTTCAGCTTTCTGTGAAACCCAGTGCTTTCAGTTCTTCTGAGCTGGCTCGTGGAGAAAACGAAAAGGTGTGTCACAAGAGAAGAAACCTCTTTGAAGATTGCAGGTGAAGATGTGCATTAAGTGACCCATATTATCTTGAAAGTCAAAAGCACAGAAAAATTCAGTGACCGCTCCATGGGGCTGAAGTAGACATAGTGCTTGCGTTATTCAGCACCTTCTGTATTGTTGGTATCAGTCTGTCTCAAGAGGCAATGGGTCTCTCTTGGGGTGAAATCAAACTGTTAGAGAATTAAACCACCTGCTGCTGATGCAGAGAACCATAACTCATAACTGCTGCCTCCCATATTGTTTTAGCTGCAGTAACAGCACCAGTGTCCTCCCAGGGTGGGGGGCAAGCCTGGGCAGTGTGTATGAAGGTCCCAGGCTGCCCCCACTCGGCCTCACTGATGTGGTCCAAAGGAAAGCAGAGCAATACGTTTGGCACCAGCTTGGCTGCAGGGGTTGTTGGTACAAGATGTCATCCAACAGCCTTAGGGACTCCACTTCAGATTTGTGTAGGGTTTCCTCTTCAGGCTTGTCTTCTCCCGAAGATGTCCTACACTGCAGCAGCTAAGCACATTCTACAGCCAGCCAAAGACGAGAAGATTGCCACAGTGCAATTTCCATACATTTATAGGTCATTTCTCAGGTACATCCATTCTGCTGCTAAAATGCCAGCAGTGATACTATCCTTGCCTGTCTCATATTGCATAAGGGCAGGCTGGGCCTCCATGCGACAGCTCTGTTTTCTCACTTCCAGTCTGACAAGAGTCTTATAACAGTGATGAGAAAGAGTGACAGAAGGAATCAGTTGTTAAACTTCTGAACCAATTGTGGCAGGACGGTTCCCATTTCAAATGGATTGTGCACATAGAATCTTAAAATCTGTAATTTTGTTTCCCCTCAACCTGGGCACTGTGTAATTCCTTACCAATTCACTCAGAGACAGTTCTCAGAAACCTGGTGTCAAAGGAGCAACATCAGCTATCTGCAAGCTTTCAGGTTGTATAGGTGACTCTGATGCACCAGCAAGGACTGCCAAGTACAGCTTGAGATGAAGAAGAGAGGGATGTCATCAGGTTTTATTGTGCCTGGAGCAAACTCCCCCTAGTTGGCAAACATAGCTTTATGCAACATATCAAGGACTTTTGTTATCTATGAATAGAGTTGTGTTACAAAATTTGCTGTGTTGGTTTTTAACACACCTTCCAACAATCTGTTTTTTGCAGCAAAACCAATTTGATTTTTATAATTATACTTGATAGTAATTTTGATTTATTTTTTTAAAAACCACTGAATTTCTTAACTCACTTTGATGAAATGTCAAATTTAATATCACAGCTACACCAGGATGGAAAAGGCAAGTATAATCCGGCGGTTTGGAAGATGAAATTTAATAATAGAAAAAGCAGTTTAAACATATTTGAAGTGAAAAGAGTTGAATTTCCCTCATATTAAAACCTTTGTGACCCATGACCCCTCCTAAGCTCTGCAATCTCCTAAATGCTTTTTGTGATTTCATCACAGAATGATGGTCAGTACTCCTTGTCGGCAAAGATCCCACAGTCCAAACTACATGCAATTAGAAGCAGACCTGTGTCTTTAAATCCAGACCTTTCCCCATCATGTATAAAGCAGGGAGGTGGAGGATGAGGATAATTTAAAGAGCAAAAGGGATGTGCAGGTGAAGAGAGAAGCTTCCCTGCAGATTTCCCTACCAGGAGTCTCTCACACTGACTTACTTCTGATATAGCAGCCTGGCCAAGGGAAAAGTGACATTAGGGGACAGAGTACAGGGAAATAAGGCACAGGCAAGGGGAGTTAATAGCCCCCCTTCCAATCTGCATTTCTTTCATGTTTAACATAAGACCCCCCTCACACACATCTCTTAGATTTACCTGTGGCAGACCCAGGTTTCAAAGCACAGTACTAGTCAGATGTAGCTTAAATTTACATAAACTGAAAAAGAGGTCATGTTGAAGGCAAAGTGGTGGGAATTTAGTGTGCTTTGGGAAGTAATGATTGCCTTTATATTCAAACAGAAAACAATGGCTTCATGAATGTCTCTTGCTTTAGCTTCCCCTCATGATTTTATTCTCTCTGGTAACACTTACTCATACGATTTCTTCATAAAGACACGGTTAGGTGCTGCCCTCCACATCTGGCAACACGCAGGTGAGGTGCTAGGAAATGAGAACTGTGCTTCTTTTACATGTTACCCATCCAGCAAGTAATTAGCACCTTCGTGCCTGTGATGGAGAGGGCTGCAGTCAGGGCCTGCCCTGCTGCCTCAGGACTGGTGTGAAACAGAGGACCATGGTAATGCTGAAGCGACTTAGCAGCAAAAAAGAACTGTGGAAACAGGCTTTCCCTTCAATGCTTCATGAAATAAGGCTTTGGTGGTACCCACCCAGACTTAACCGCAACCTCCTTTTCACCCTCTGCATAGAATCAAGTATGGAGGGGACAGAAAACACAAAAGCGAACAGAAGCAAAATGCTCACCAGATAAAAAGTATTCATTTAAATCCACAGTAACATCTATGCATCTGATCCCACATTACATGCAGCAAGGCAGATGTGTGCTGGAAAGACTGTAACAGAAATGGAGGAAACAACAGTAGTGTTGGAGTGGGAAGAATCTACCCCTGGGCATTTTCTCCCTCATTTTTTTCAGTGTAGGCTGACCCCACGCCATGGAACATTTCAATGAAATCTGATTCAACTAGTTGTGTCCATCTTTCTCTTGATTCTTCCCTGTTAGTTGAGGAAAAAGGAGAGTCACCTCAGGGGACATGAGAATGATAAGGAATCATTGCTTGCTTTCATTGGCTACTTGCTTGACTGGTTTCAGCAAGGCTCACCCCTCCATCACTCTTGAGGGAGAGATGCATATCTGACAGCCTCTGACATATCATAGGACAAGAGAGGAAGACAGTTTGTATGGGAATCTGTGATCAAGGCAAATATAGAGAGATGCTGTGTGGCCACAGCAGCCTGGTAGAGTGACCACACTCAAAGCTTTATACTTTGAAGGGGAAAATCTGAATTAAGAACCGAACTGGACAAGCAGCACTGCACCCAAAATTGATAAAGTGAGCACCAAGCTCAAGACAGTATTAGCAGGTTCTTAGGAGGTGCAAGATCAGAAGTCGTCTCAGAAGTCACCTCCAGTTTCTTTGATAACGGCATCGTTCCATCATTAGAGCTTAGTTTCACTCAATATGATATTTGCAGTCACAAACAGAAAGCAAAAAAGTCCCCAGAGTAGGACAAACCCAATCCAGAATGTGTGCCGGAAAGGGGACAAATGTTTATTGAGCGTGCCATTTCCAAAGATCAGCTGAGTGTCTTTTCGGCTGCAATATGCTAAGAAAGCAGGGATGATATACTGGATCCCATTCCCAGCATAGGCTCCAGTAATGCCCACCAAGGACTCCAAATCGTGGGTGCAGAAAGCCACGATAATGGGGGGAATGAGTGTAATGACTGGGAAAAAAATCCTATCTACTACCCAAGGGTAGGTTCCCCCTTCCCGGTGGAAGAGCGTCTTCCAATTGTTCCTCAGAGTCACGGCAATTATAGGAAAGTTGGTGCTGATGGTGAAGACAGGAAAGAGGCCCAGGAAGTAGCGGATAACGGCGATATTGACAATGTCACAGCTGGTGAAGTTGAGCGTATACATATCCATGAGAGTCCCGTTCTTGAAGCAGTAGATAGCAGTGAAGGACAAGAGGCTGTAGAAACCCAGGATTAAGGTGTAATCCAGCAGGACCAACTTGTTAACGTGTTTCTTCTTGGAGATGGGAGTGATGAGAGATGGCAGCGAGTGCTGGCACATGAAGGAATAAACGCACACCCCAAAGAGATTGCGGATCCCTGAGAGTTGCGCTAAAGGAGGGTGACCTTCCCCTTTCCCTTTGGAAATCCGGAGAAGGGCGATAATTATCATGATGACAAATGCTGGAAGACAAGGGGTGGGGAAGGAGAGAGAAAAGGAACATGTTGAAGTCAGAGCAGAAGCTATGCACACAAAAATATATATTTCCTCCTCTAATCTCTGCGCTGGATCACTACAGTCTATAGTGCAAGTGATAAGGGGACGACGACACATGCTTCCCTGGAGAAAGCAGTGCTGCATACAAAGAAAAGATCTACAAGGAGATAAATACGTGTGTTCAGCACCAGGCTGTACACTGTGGGTGGGGACTCCAATACAAAAGTACAGTTGGCTATCTTTGAAACAGGGTTATCCAGCAATCACACTTTCTCTCAGGGGCATCTGCCTCGTAGGAAATGGGTTTGACCCATCACAGCTGCTGCTTGAGTCCTCAAAGAAATATAAAATAAAACTGTTGTCTTTGAACTCAACACCTTCTCTTTACCCCAGGGTCCCCAGTCTCATTCATGTTAGTAAAAGTGCACTGAAGACATTTCCTAGCATGAGCATGTACCACTTTGGTGGAAAGGGCATTTGAAAGATTGCTTCTGGGCAGCACAGGAGCGCACAAGAGACAATGCTCATGCCCTTTGGTTTTCACAGCATTTGTTTGAGGAGAGTGGGACTGTATTTTACATAAATGACACAGACAGGAATATTTGCAACTGGCTTATATTTAAATTTAGGGTATTTGTAAAGAACACATTGACATTGTTCTGCATAAGAAACAGCCAAACAAGCTGCCTGAGACTAATCTCAATTGGGAGAAGGTCTAACAGGGACTGAAAGGAAAGCACTGAAAATTGGAGTTGAAATGCAGGCATAAAGCACACACTTACTTGACATTTACTACAACAGCAACATATAATGCTGTTTATTTGCTTGCCGAAAGAAGATTTGCTGGGGCAAGGCAAAGCAGGTCTAATGTCATATATTAAATGTTAGTGATAGTAACAAAAATAGTTTTACTGAGCAAAAATAAAGAATAAATAGGGCCCTCAGATGTGCTTGAACAGGAAGTTGAGCATTATGATGAAGGGCACAAGGACCTTCCGTTTGAAGATTTGTTCCTTGACCACTGGGCACTCCATTCAGCTCCATTATGTTTTCTAAAACTCTAATGAATTAGCTAATAGGAGTGTGGGATCTTCTTCTCAATCCACTTGGTCCAAATATGCCCCACCCCTTCTCAGTGACATTGTGACTGATCCATTAGAGCAATTAGTGTGCTGCCCACCAATTTCAGTCTGCCCTTAGCCACCACCACCTTAAGCCTGTCTTCTTTCTTGGCTCCAGTCCAGGGGGTGGCCCTAGCTGCTGGCTGCCTCCTCCATCCCAGAGTTGCCTTTGCAGAACTTTGTAGGAAGGAGGTTAGGGACAAATCTTTGTTGGCTTTACCTGTCTTTGGCTCTGCTATACCTACTGTTGTTCTCCCTGACTTCCACCCTACCAATCTTAATGGGCACCAGCAGCCACTGCCGTCTAGTAAATTTCTGCTTAAGTTTCATTTCTGTTAAATTATTTTTCCTCTCCAATCTCCATTTCTTATGCTGACCTTTTGAGCCTGGCGATCATAACAGCCTCTAAAACAGAAAGCAACCATTTTACAAACCCAAACCTGAAGTGGCTGAAAAAAATTAGTTCATTCATTAGTCCCTCATCATTTTGATTGTTTTTTCTTGTGTAGGTTACAGCCCTTCATGATAGTGTTCCAGAGCAGGGGCACCATTGGAGGGGCCAGGGGGCCAAGTCCCCCCCCCCCAATTTTCAAGGAGGGGGCCAGGCAACCTCTAAATTCCATGGTGATCGTGTGCACACCATGTACATATGCTGCACGACATGCTGACATCACTTGCACATGCTGCTCACAACACGTCAGCATGTCGCGCAGCGTGTGGAAATGACTCAGCAAGTCACACGAAAGATGCACATGGCGGGCGGCACCAGCCCCCTCTATCACAGGGGCAAGACGGCATGCTTGTTCCAGAGACTTGCCATTTTGTGCTTGAAAGGGGAACGTCTCCTGCTCCCTGCCTCAACTTGGTGTATTCAGTGGGGAGAGTGGCTGCTTAGGATAACAAATGGGCCAAGATGGGCTGTTTTGGCATTTGTACAAACTGTCTTTAGCTGTGGCTGAGAAACAGAAGCCCCAAACCAATTAATCAGATACTGTAACACACAGAATGCTAATGCACACTTCCACTGCACAGAACATTTAAAGCCATTTAAAAAGACGGACTTTGACAGCACAGCAACCAAGAGAGGAGTCACAGGGACTAAAAACTAGGGTGACTACCAGAAAACACCCAATTAACTGGCCACTCACAAGAACCCAGCTAAATCCAGATTTTACAGCAATGCTTGGGCTTATGGGACAAATGCTAGGGAGCTCTTATGGATGGACCTTGAGATATTTGAAGATGGTCCATCACATGGAAGACTGAAAAGAAGTTGAGATTGAGATTATCAATACTATAAAGAGAAATTAGGAACCTTGAATAAATAGTGTTTTACATATATAATAAAAGATAGCTCAAAGGGTGTAATTTTAAGGCATGTGGGCCTTCCAGTTACAAGTCTATCACTATCCACTGGATCAGACAGGCTTTCAGTGCATATTACTATCATGAGGAGGAGGAGGAGGAGGATTAATTAAATTTCTATACTGCCCTACCTCCAAGGATCACAGAGCAATTTAAAATATAAAAACACATAAAAACACATAAAAACACATAACATAGTAACAATCAAAAATAACCGCCATGAGATGTTCTGTATAGCAGAAGCTGTTAGAAACCATTTGCCACCTCTTTGTTTACTGGAGAATTTCCTTTAATTATCTGTCTTGAAGACATAAAAAAGGGGGGGAACCAAAGATTCATTATAAAGCAGCTGGAACTGCTCTTCTATCAATGACAAATACAGAAAAACTACAAACCACCACAGCAAAGGTACAAAGCCCTTCAAGTCATCTAGAACCTGCCCAAGGACACCAAATATTCTCAACAGAGTTTAAGAGAATTGTGAGCTCGGACATTCTGACAGGAACAAAGGAACAAGAGAGCAGGAGTGACATGGAAGAGACAGCTCTCAAGAAAGAACAAGCAAGGCAGGTTATTCTTCTCAGAAAAAGCAAGCAGAAGATATCCAGATCTTTCTCTTTGGGGAAAATAATTTGACTTGTGGTGTCCAGTCCTGTATCTCTGCCATAGCTTAACTATATTTAACTGCAAGACCTCTGCACCTCTTCCCCTGCAGAGAGAGAAGCAGTAAATCTCTACTATCTCTGCTCAATCAAGGGTGAAGATCTGACCTATTTCCTTGCCAAGTTCCCTTATCAGGTACAGGCTGCTCATTTAACCCATTCTTTTCCACACCAGAAGCAGCATGTACTTTAAGGAATGCAAGCCACTCTTAGTATTTATTCATTCATGTGTGTCCTGCTCTTCAGCCCAGTGTCTCAGAGAGCAGCTCATACAAAACCAACCTGCAACAAAACAGTCCTTGCCCACAAGCTAACAAAACAGTGCTCGCTCGCCAACCAGGGGCCATATGCTTCCCTGGGGGCCCCCATGATATTCCAAGGGGGTCAGAGACAGAAATTGGATAAATGGGGGGGCCCGGCATGAGACTAGGGAGCTACAGAGGGAAGTGAGAAGTGAGAAGTGAAAAAAAGAGAAGTGACTGAGGATAAAAACAAAGATGTAGAGTGAACAGAGAAGTGACTGTGCTTCCCAATGGATGGAGCACCACGCACACTCTGCGGCAACATTGCTTCCGCTTCCTTCTCCCTCCCACTTCCGCACACCAATGCTGCGTGGCTGCAGCAGTGCTAAGTGTGCTAGGTGCTGTCTCTTCATGCATTCATGCAAGTATTACTGCACAAAGAGATACGTTGCTGAATGCAAGAGTTACTCAGCCTCACGCGAAATCACCTTCATATAATGGTCAGAGGTGATCTCTGGTTATTCCTCACAGCAATAGAGCTGGATATAAAAAAGCTTGTTTCTGGTCATCAAGCACAAGGGTAACACTGATCGAGAAATACTTATATTTTTTAATGTAATTCTTTTTGTATAAATGATAAGAATTATAAATAAAATATGTTCTATTTACAAACAAAACGCTTAAACAGAAAGGAGCTGACCTTTCAAGCGAAGCTATCGGCATGAACCCCAGAGACTTTCCCACACCCACACTTTTCAGACTCTTGAACTTAATGCCTTTTATGTCACCTGGTATGTCTCTGCATACTCCACTAATGAAAACCGGTAGCTGCTTGCTAGTCAGGGGGACCCTGCAAGGGCACATTTTTCATTCCAAACCTGCTTGAGGAGTCAGTCCAACATGCCATCCCTGTGCCGCATGGGATGTGGTGGTTTTACAAGCCAGAGACCAACAGGTACACAAACATCAAGTCATGGTGGAATAAGAGCTTGGCTATTTCTCCTTTCTGAACCGGCAGGTGCTTTAAGGGTAGCCTACACTGCGAAAAGCTGACCTGATTTTGCCTTCCTGTAGAGAACTAATCCTGTGAATTGGTCGATTTCTCTCACCCTTTTTAAAAAAGCAAGTTATTTTTGTGACGAAAGTGCAAGGCCTGGTCTGCTGACTACTGAATTCAGTGAAATGACCTCTTCTTCCCATCCCACACTGGATATTTAAGGAGTATCATCTTACTTTCTGGGTAAGATGATGGGTACTTTTGAAATTCAGGCACCTTCTCCATTATGGAAGATTGTTACGTTGCAAAGCTATCAATAGTTATGCAACACTTACATATACGGATTGTCCTTTATGAGAACTGTACCAGCACTTGGAATAATTGGTTCTTTTTCCTTTTTCAGCAGAGATCTGATCTGCCTTCCTAAATCATACCCTTTCAGCCGAGTTTCTTATTTTGAAGTACATGGAATTTTTTCAATGCACATTGCACAAAGATCTGGTGAAGTTCAACACTCCAAAGCTATCCTGGCAGATCTATTTTCCTAGTCAAGGGGATATAGGAGGACATCCCTTTCCC